AGTCTTGTCATTCTCGATTATAGCTTACTCCTAATACTCAAGCTTCTATCAATAATTTGGTCCGATATTTCACAACATCTTTATATACGCTACTACCGTCCTTCTTTGTACCAAACATATACTAACAACACAGCATCCATTTGGCTATCTATACAGGATTATTGTATCTTGTCCCATCACACCAGAATATCTCGTTCTTGACGGCCTAGGTATTCTATTCGTCTCGCCAGCAATGGTGTCCGTACTCGAAAGCTCGATCCCCACACGCGCCTTCAGTCTTTAAGATACGTACAAAGACCATTGCAATGGTCAAAGTCGCAATGGTGGTACTCTTCCGCAGCGGGTGGAGGCGAAGGACGAGGCTCTTGCTCTTCACCCCTTGTCTCACCGCGGTGTCCACGCTGGTCTTCAAGTCGCCGAACTAGAGCTTGGAACGCATTCCAGGTCTCTTCTCGTCCCCGTCTCTCTACCCGTCTCTCTACATCACTGGTCATTCCGAGTGCCTGCCGCCGCATGGTTCGCATAGTGTATTGGAATTCTTCTCGGATTTCCCGGGCGTGCTGGGTTGCTGCTATAGCGGCTTGTGTTGCGGCTAGCGCATGTTCTGCGGCTTGTTCTGCGAGTTGTGCTTGAGCCTGAGCATACGCATAAGCTTGAGCCGCTATCGCAGCTTGTGTTTGAGCGTTCCGCGCAGCTTGGGCTTGGGCACGTGCCGCGGTTTGGGCTTCGGCTTCGGCTTCTCGTGTCTGTCTCTTCGCAATAGCGGCGTTGATGGTGTTGGTGGTGGCATCCTCGATGGAGGTTTGGAGGCGAGATGGTGATGGCATGTTTGGTGTGTTGGTGTCTTGCTTTGGGTGGGTGGATGTTGTTGGGTTGCGGTTCGAGAACATCTGCCACAGGAAGAACTTTTCATTCTTTTATCTACTCGAGGAGTCGGAGATGCTGGTCACTACTTGAAGTCTGCCGTTTCGGAAGTGGCTGGCCTTTCTTTCACAGCACACGTTCTCCGCGTCTAAAAGCCTCGTTCACCACTTCCACTCGTATCCCACCGCATTTCACCTCCTCACCCTCGATCTCGACCCCCAATCTAGTGAAAGTACTTCCAAGTCACCCCCCTCGTTACCGCCCACCCCTGATCCAGCGCCTTCACAACACCCTCATCCAACGGCCCCTTCTCAAAGTCCTTGAGATTCATCTCCAACTGCCCCTTGCTACTCGCCCCAATGATAACCTTGTCTCCAAACTCTTTCTTCAGCTGACTATGGTGCATCATCCACCGAAGCGCCGTCTCACTCTCCGTCTGCCCTTCAGGTAATTCAGACCGCAGGCTCTCGATCGCAGTGAAGAACTCGTCGTTCCAGTAGCGCGCGCGGTACATTTTGCCTTGCATACCTGTGAAACATTCACATCAGCTTCATTCTCCACTCGATGACTTTCAAGCATGGATGCAGGTTATCAACTTACGGTTCGCATCAAACCGACTCCCAGCCTCCAGAGCTTCATTCTGCGTCTCGCGCTTGTACCGTGAGGTCAACCAGCCTCCAGCTAGCGGATTGAATGCGTAGAACGACATGTTGTATTTGCGCAGACAGGGGAGAAGTTCGTGCTCGATGCTGCGGTGGAGTGCGTTGTATACGCCTTGGTATACGCTCGGTAACTGGTATCCGTTTGCCTTGCAAATCTCGCAGATTGCTGCGACTGTGATCAACTGTTAGTATGGTATCTGATATTGAGAAACAAGGCAGGATTGGAAGGGACAGGACGCATGCATGAAGTGGACTGAACATACCCTCCCAAGCCATAAAATTACTAACACCCCACCTCTTAAACTTCTTCCCCTCCTTGCCATTACCACTACCTTCCTGGAACAGCTCATGCACCGCCCTCGCCGTCTCCTCAAGCGGCACCGTCCGATCCGGCGCATGCAAATACCACAAATCCACTCTTTCCGCCCCAAGCGCAGTAAGACTCTCCTCTAAACTCTTGCCCATATCCTCCTTCCTAGAGTGCGTGGGTGTACGGCCGAAAAGTCCATGGACGTTGGGGAAGAACTTCGTGTCCATCACTAGACCGCGCTTCTGCCAGGAGAGTTGGGCGAGGTATTCTTCCGACGTGCCGTCCTGGGTTTGTTAGTTCGGTGGGAAGAGGAGGGTGACAGCGAATGAGTGTGCGTACGCCATAGAAACGACTCGTGTCAACCTCGTTGTGGCCGTAGGATTGAAAGGTATCGAGAATAGCTGCGCATTCGTTTAGGTCCGAGGTGCGGACTTGTTCTTCGCCTTCGCGGCCGAAGGTCATGCAGCCGAAGACGATGTCGAGGGGGGTTTTGGATGGCATGGTTGGTTAGATGGTCAAGTATTCTGTTGTGGCGATCTCGATTCTGGGTACATGATATCCTGGATGTTTGGGTTACTTATAATTTCCAGCAACGACATCATTACACATCTGCCATGTGGAGCTGTGGAGATAAGTGGTCATGATATGCAGGGTCTTGGCGGAGTTTGACGGAGTTAACGCGGGTTACAACTCGGGACTGGATGTACGACTATACCATGTCGATCCTACGCCTTGCTTGCACGATGAATTCAATGCTTGATGATAATTATCGTAGATGTAGGCTTACTTGACGTTTTGGGACGGAATTAGTGTTGGGTGATGGACCGCGAGTTGAGGTTAAAGGTAGATTATCGTGAACATGCTGACAAAAGCTTGAGATGGAGAAGAGCAAGGCTTGCGGTAGTCGTTCACTCGTGAATATTAGATGTGGTATTGGTAAAGCTACACCAGCCATCAGGACACCAGTCACGGCCCACTCTTCGTTCTCCACCCCTCCCGTTACAAAGCTTGTTTCAAAGCTTACCGCGTCCCAGCATTGGTAGGATACTGATACGTAACCGGCTCACCCTTGATATCATTCTCCTCCCTCCACTGCAACCGATCAATTTCACTGACGCCAGGACCCCTGTAAACACTCCCATAGAGCCCACTCGCCCAATCCTTACCAGGCCCCTCCTTCGTCTCCTTTGTCGCCTTACGACTATACCACTTTCCATACGCCAACAGATAATACAACCTAAAGCTTAAGAAAGCAAACTTGTCGCGCTCAAGATCAGCAGGGTACTGCGCACCGAGATCAACAGCCGCGGCGATACCGCTCATGACAGCGACTTCGTGGGCGTTGATGAGCGTCCATGCTGCTGCGAAGCGAGTGTGTTTTCGTCCTTGAAGTAGCCACATCCATGGTACTACGAAGACGTAGTGTGTCCATGAGTGGCAGAGCTGGTGCCACCAGTCCTTGCGGATGATCTTGTCCTTGTTGATCTCGTCAATGCTCCATAGATGGCCGTCGCGCGCCTTGTTGAGGTAGATAGTCTGGAAGATGTGCTTGTCGAAGGGGACGTCCGGTGGGAATTGACTTTGGTAGTTTGTGCAGTCGAAGCACATTTCTAGTTTTGATCGGTCTTGCGGGTACATCTTGATGTAGTACATGGGCTTGAAGTTCTTCTCGGCGTATTGGTTGCGGGCGGTTTGGTCGGCGCCGGAGAGCTCTTTGGCGGACTTTTCTGGGTCGTAGAAGTTTTCGTAGTGCTTGTGCATGTAGTCGCTGTCCCAGTGTGTGACGGTGATGTCGTCGGAGAATTTGGCGGAGCCCAGGACTTTCTTCTCACGGAATGAGGCCGCGGGTTCCAGGATGCGCTTTGCGGTGTCGGCGAGTACGCAGAGAATGATTTCATCGTAGTGCTCTTCCTTTTCTTGCGCGTCCGCATCGGCGTTGTGCTCGTCGTCGTAGGGTACGTGGACACTGTTGGGGTTGTGCGAATCAGGCATGGGCGTGCGCTTGATCAACCTAACAGTAACACCAGTTTTGTCTCGCTTTACAACCCGAGTGATCTCCGTCGAAAGCCTAACATTGACACCTCTCTTGAGTAGATCCTGCCTCCAGCGCTCGTAGAATTCGCTGAACTTTGGGAAAACAACCATGGGCGGCAGGTTGCTAGCAATGCTTCGTTTGTCTACCGGATACCACATGCCGTACGTTGGACTAGTGCAGAGTCGTTCTAGGATGATGCTGGGTACATTTGGCGTCTCATTTCCAGTTCCCAGGAAAAGTGCAATCATGGGCATGGCGACAGTGTTGGTGAACTCTTCGGAAAACCAGAACATTTTGAATAGAATCTTGATCGGGATCAATGCGAAGAAAATCTCGAACCAACGGACAATCTTGATCATGGTATGGAACCTGCGAATTTCCTTTTGATGGCGCGCAAGAAGCTCTGTGGGAAAGACGTTGGTCCAGAAGATGTCGTCTTTGCCGAAGGAAACTTGGAGGTTGACTGGATCTGCGTGGTGGCCTTGTCTCGCGAACATCGTCATGGTGTGGTGGAAGATGTAGCTTCCACCCTGAACACCTTGGTTCAGCCATTCGGCGCCATGGCGCTCTTTGTCGACTCCAATGGAAAAAGCCTGGCCACCACAGTAATCTACTGCATCAATGAGGGTAACATCGAATTTGTCGGGGTGTTCGGATAGATGGTGAGCACACGACATTCCTGCCTCAAATCAACAACGATGCATTTCAATACACGCGTTCAACATACCAGCCGCTCCAGCCCCCACAACCAGCACCTTCTTCTTTCCATCCTTGTTACCGCCTGCCATATTCGTGGTGGGCAGAATAGGCGTTCTGTCGGTTGAATATGGCATCGAAGAAAAAGGCTCAGCACTTATGCGACGCGCTGCAGGAGCGCAAGCTACTGCGGGCCTGTATTTGTCTGCAGCTGTCACGACATCAACCTCGAACAAATGCGTCATGAAATCTCAAAGCGGCATGGTCCGATCTTGACTGGCTGCGGCTATCGGTCGATCGTGCATCGCCAAGCGCTCACCAAACTTCAACACCACGCTAGATGATGATGTCATCCAAATTTGCGAATTAATTCATGACGGCAATATAGGTATCTTGGTGCAATTTCCCTGGTTCCCAACGCGTGACCTCGTGTCTATAGCGTGTGCATCCCCTTTAGTGCCCTGTCTGTCCAATCGTCCACCACGTCGCCTGTCTGATCGCCCGTGTTTTCAGAACGCGACGGAGGATCCATGATGGGGAATGACCCTGGATGTGTCGCCTGACTCAGATCGAAGAAGTCTAATCCCAAATCGGCCGTCGCGTCTGTATACCAATCATTCCCTATATCAAGTATGTCGGCATTATCCGTTCTTTCCTCGGCCGCCATGTCTACCACACTGTCCAGAGGCCCCTCCTCTGGCACATCCGGTACTGTTGGCGAATCGTTATCCTGAGTAACACCAGTTATTGTGGCGAATTGCAGCGCGATCCGGCCAAGGGTCTTGTACGTAGGTGCGAGCTTCTGCATTCCGCGGACCTGGTCGAGCACAGTGCGCACTGTCGCTTTACGTTCGACGTCTCTCGGTGAATCGGTTTGGCCCTTGGGCCGTGCAAGAAAATCTGCGCATACGATTAACACGGCGTGGAATACGAAGAAGAAGTCTAGCCAGGAGTAACCGATAATCTCGAATATCCCCAGCTCGATGCCGATGGTGATGCATTGGAGGCTTTTGTGTACTGATTCAACACAGTCCTCCGCCAGGATTAGGGTTGTAGACCAGTCTTCTGAAATTGGGGGCGCTTTGTTCTCCAGGAAGCAGACGTTGCTCTCGACCTTTTGTATGAGAAAGTCTCGGGAGATGACACAACGCGTGTAGTAATAGTAGACGTGTAGCAATAATGTCATTGCTTTCAGATCTGGGTGCCCTGGCATGTCTTCTATTGACATGTGCTGAGGTATTTTTGCGAAGAAGTTGTCGCACTCCCGTAGTAGGGCTATGGCGACAGCGATGGTTGGGGACCGTTCCTCGGCAGAAGTTTTGTCGAAATAGGCACGTTGTCGAATGCGGTACGATGTGGACACTAGGTCGGAACAGAGATTCATGAATGCTGCGTTGATGCGCGTTTGCTCTAGCATTGGTGCGTCTGGGACTCTCATCGACATCTCTCGGTCATCAATCACTGTTGGGCGGCCCAATATGCCACACAGTGTCTTTTCGAATATGTAGAGGGACCACCAGACTTGTCGGCGCGTATTGCATTCGATGGGTTCGAATTGGACGTTGGTGCTGTCTCGATGCATTCCCATGGTAATGGCCTGATATGTGTTAGCAGAGCATGGGTGTCCTGTAAAGCATATAACGTACCATACGTGCAGCAAGACCTATCAGTAGCCACGAGCTGCTCTTCTGCCCAATATTATGGTGATGCATGTTGAGAAGAACGAGCGCTTGGACATTGTCCAGACGAGTCGATGTCAGAAGCGTCCGAAAGTAGGTTTTGGCGAAGGCGAGAAACTTGTGGCGAAGTACATTCATTTGGTCGACATCATTTGCTTTTGATTTCTGGCAGCCAAACGACAACACCAAGGCCAAGGAAACTAGCCACCCCATGTCCTTGCACTCTTCGAACAACTGCGTCTTCCGTGAGTACGTAGCCTCCAGCCGGATCTGAAACGTTGTTCTATTGAAAAGGGGAAAGTACACATGTATGTGATCGAAGTAGACTGCTACTAGAGCGTCGGCGATATGCTTTGCGGGTATCAGATCACCAATAGTATCTAGACGTGATGAGTGATCATGATGTTGCGACGGATCGTTTGATGCCTCCCACTCTGTCCTAGATCTCTTGCGGCTGCCATGGCTAGAACCTGGACGCTGACTGTAGGATGGTGGAGCGAATTCATCTTCAGACGGATTCGTGCTGCTGCGTTTGAGAGCTGAGCCCGATCGGCTCGAGGGGTTTGAGGTGAATGATCGGAGGCCAGGAAAATCGGCGCCTGATACGGCCTTCCATCGGGACGCGAGGGTACGGATAGTCGATGCAAGTCGGAAACTACTCGACGGCCCGAAATAATGTGAGGCACCACGATTCGTACGAACGATCTCGTCAGTCTGGGAAGATACTTGTTGCGTTATGGGCTGACGAAGACGTTCTTTGCTTGTAGACAAGGCAGTAGTGCGCCGAGCAGAGTGCAGGGGATACGTGGTAGTGTGCGAGCCCAAGTAGGCAGACTGAGCAACTGGCGATGGCTGCAATGAGTGTTGCTGTTGTTGTTGCTGTTCCAGCGAAGAAGTCTGTCTATCGCTACTGCTACTGCTGAAGATGTCTGCGGGAGTAAAGTCGTCGCTCGCGGGCATAGCAATGTTCCTGGTCGTGGCGATCTTGAACAGGGTCTCTGTGTCCTGAACATTCTCATCCGGAAAGAGGCCTTTGACTAGCGACTCAAGGGCTCTGTAGCGTAAGCTGAGGGTCTCCACACTGCCATAGACCCTCTGTTTACGTGGAAGCTTCGATTCACACACCACGCCATTTGCCTTGCAGTCCGCACATGGCACCTCGGCATTTTCGCGTATGCACCGTGCCCGTCGAATTTTGCAGCGGTCGCAGCTCACGAGGGCTCGCTTTCGTGATGACCCTGATTTGGCCGGGCGTTCGGCCATGGCGTCGACTTCGTCGCGAGCAAGATCGGAAAGTGTAGCGGGCGTATTGACGCGCTCGAGATTGTGGAGTTCCGAGATGCGAAGATCGTATGATCACGTCGTCGCGCCCGCTGACAGCAGACCGTGGCCCTCATGCCGCCGACCAGGCCATCGGAGTTGCTTCCGTACCAAAGTTAACGCGCGTCACAATAAGGTTTACTGAGCGCGACCCAACTGGAGGGATCTTCTTTCGTGCTTATTAGAACTATCCCCTCATGCGTTCATTATTTATGCCGTGGTCTTGCCCGACCTCACTGCGCTAGTCTAAATACACTGGAATCCCGTATACAACTGCAGCAGCCCCATTCAGGTACTTCAGGTAGCAGGCCTTTCTCGCATCCCGCACTGCCTCGTCTAACCCAACGCCCTTCTGCGACACCCGACCCGTGTTCGAACGATCATCCACCAACCTGGCGGACTTCTTTCCCTTCTTCGCACTGTCTACGCTTCTTGCAATCTCTACCTCCTCGGCCAATTGCGCAACTCGACCCTTGCCCTTCGCCTTCTTCGCGGGCGTTTTCGCGGGCGTTTTGGATGGTGGCGAATCTTCCTGTGCCTCAGGCCATAGTCCCCATAGTTCGCCCGCTTTGACGGCAAACCGATCGCAATCCTTGTCAGTGACATCCCACAGCATGCCAAGTACTGCTGGAGCGCCGGCAGTAAGATATGCCGCAAGCATACCCGAAGGCTCGAAAATGCCGTTTTCAGTGAGATGTACAGACGAACAACCGAAGAGGAGTGTGGTCGCACAGCCAGGTTTTCTGTCCCCTTCATCTTGCTCGCCGGGATAGAGACGTCGCACTGATTTTGACTTGACGTACTGTGCACCGCTGCCGTGACCGAAATACAACACCAAATCCTTCTCACGCAGTGCATCTTCGAATTCCTTCTCGGACGGTGCGCGGTTGGCGATGTGGTTCCAGGGGCCTGCAAGCTCGTCTAGATGCGGTTTGATGGTTTTCGATGTATGGGACAAGTCTCCGGATGGATTCAGCATGCTTGTACCTCCCGTACTTGTGGCTATGTAATGTCCCGGAGCAGCGTCCTGCTGAGTTGTGGAGGACCGTGCCGAAAGTATTCGTTCGCGAAGGGCAGCAAGGGAAGGTAGTCGCGAGATAGAAAGCGGCTCCAGGCAAGGCAGCGACTCCCAGGGGAACGCATGTAAGTTGTTGTCTAAGATGAGTATCGTGTGACGAGAACCAGCGTCAAGCTTGTGGGACGCGCTGTGATAGGCGCGTAGTGCTTCATACGTCTCCACGACCATGGCATCGAAATCGAGCTCGTCATAGGCATTGCGCTCGCCGTTGAACTGGAGGATGTCCACAACGAAGTATATGAGATCCATGAGCGCTTCGTCCAAGTCAAGATCCTCATTGGTAGCGTCGCCCAGCCCAATAAACAACTCCAGTACTCGTGTATCCAAGACTGGTCGCTTTTGAGTGCTCTTCTTCTTACGGGAAGGCAGGTGCTCGTTGAGTATATCTTCCAAAGCCTTTCGGAATTTAGCTAGTAGAGCTGGCTGACGCTCATGCTGAGAAAAGATGCCCTTGAAGCCACCCAGCCAGATATTTTCCATGTTGATAAGAAGCTCACGAAGTCGGGTGTCCAGAGCTTCGCGTTCGGCCCACCACTGGCGTCTTGCTTCTCTCGAGGTCATGTCCTTGGCAGATCGCGTACTGAAATCACTGAGCTCAATGATCTCATCGAAATCTCTCTTGCCGTCCTCAAACGAGAACTCTTCCTCGTCCATCTCGCGCGAAGCGTGGCGAGCCAACGGTAGGCGCAATACGAAAGGAGACAAGCCACGCTCAAACCGGGTGATGAACAGCTCATCGCGGGCCTCACTAAGTGCCAGAGATACAGCAGACCAAGTTTCCGGAATGATGTCAACGTACTCCTTCTGAAAGCTGGACACTGAGCTGAAGGCGAAATGCGATGAATCAGCGGCTGGCCATCGCAGGCAGTCATCGCGTGACAGTTGTTGCTTCTCTGCCTCTGTTGACTCTTGCACGAGGCGCAAGGCGTTGACTTTAGGGAGCTCTGAGTGTTGTCAGTATAATGTTTGCCATGTGCTGCGTCTTACATACCACTCATGTAGGCTGCGTATAATGGGTGGAGGGAGCCCGGTAGCTCAGTTCCAGAAACGGCGGACATTAAAACGGTGACATGACCTAGCGCCATGGAGGTTTGGCGGAATAGGTGATTAGATCCATTGGTAGCACACAGGCTGTGTGCTTCAACGAGTCGTGCACGTGCTTCGCGAAGCGTATCCATAAAGTCCACCTTGGCTTGCTTCTTCGCTCGACCAGTCTTAGTAGTTGCTGAAGGTCCCACAGTTGCCTTCTTGGTGGTCGTTGCGTCCGAGAGTCTTCGTTCCTTGAGACCAAACGCAGGAAAAGCGATGGTCGATTCTGGCAGAGTGTTCACCGTGAAGTCTTCAGCAATCTGCTTCGCACTTTGTGCAAGCTTTGCTTTGAAGATAGCCCACATGTGCGACACCTCTTGACTCAGCCCGGCCTGAAGCTGCTCTGCCTCATCAAGAATGCTCAGGGCCTTATCGAGATCATCATGAAGAAGGCTAGCAAGGACAGCTCGGTCTCTCATGCTCGCCTGAAAAGCGCACAACGCAGAACACTGTTCGGCGATACTGGAAGCTTCAGATACTACGGCTTTCCCTATTTGACGCTTGGTCGTTGTGACGGCCTTCGCAGTTGCCCCTGTGGCCTTGGACCGGGCACCGGCGGTTGTTCTAGCAGCCGATTTTGGTGCAGCTTTGGCTGCGGGTTTACGGCCTCTGGTGGCTGGTTTCGCCTTGACACTCTCCGTAGTCTCTAGAGTCATAGAAGAGACCTGATCAGCAAGCGCATCGACCGAGGGTGACGAAGTCTCCAACGTCTTGATGTACGAGGGAGAGCTTAGCTCCTGGAGAAGCTTCTCCATGAGGTCATAAGACTGGATCTCTTGCTCGTATTGACCGTTCCAGTGGTGCATCCTGGCTACAGCTGAATGGTAGCCTGCAGTAGACAAGCATTTGCGGGATGTATCGGGGCTCAGAGCATTGAAGATTGTCTCAGCCTTGTCGGGTCTACCGCTCTGGGCCCAACAGTCAGCGCGCCAACTAGCGTTGTCCGTGATCAGAGTTGCGGATCCTGTAGCCATAGCGACCTTTTCAGCCTGTTCAGCGACATGGATAGCTTCGTGTAACAGACCTTGATGGGCGAAGATCTGGGACTGTTGCATCAAGGCTCGGTACAACGCGGGAACCAAGGACCAGAAGTCAGGCCCGTTGAGAGCATCATGCGTTACAGACATGACAAGAGGCGCAATGGGTTCCTTGCTGTCCACGGTTGTCGTTTTCTTCGCATTGGCCCGTGATTCAAGGGCGGCCCAAATGCGACGATTGACTGTGACGCACTGCCTTGCATGTTGAGCCGCTGCCTTGTACGAGCCAGTAGCTGAGGCGAGAAGCGACTGAACATAGGACGCAGCCGCCACGATCTTGTTGAACCGTAATCTACCGGAGAGGGTTGTCGTTGACTTTGCGAGATCCATGAACTGTCGATCGTTGAGCGCCAGAGATTGTGCGTTTGTCATAGTAGTCAGACTGCCCAGTGTTAGTATAATTCCGTCAAGATAAGACACTACTCCACGTACCATTTGGTAGTATTACCGATACCCACAAGGTACTCAGCATACGCCATATGCCATTGCAATCTCACCTCTACAGAGGGACCATGGCGTTCGATCAACGCCTCAGCCTTGGCCAAGGATAAACCCGCCTTGCCGGTATAACCAAGATGGAGAAACTGAAGACCGAGGGCACACAGCGCAGTGAT